TATATATATATATATATATATATATATATATATATATATATATATATATATATATATATATATATATATATATATATATATATATATATATATATATATATATATATATATATATATATATATATATATATATATATATATATATATATATATATATATATATATATATATATATATATATATATATATATATATATATATATATATATATATATATATATATATATATATATATATATATATATATATATAATTATTATTATTATTATTATTATTATTAAGTTATGTTGACATCTTTATAACTACTTTATAGCTTACAGTTAAAGTCAGAATTATTAGCCCCCTGTTTATTTTTTCCCCTAATTTCAGTTTAACTGAGAGCAGATTTTTTTCCAACACATTTCTAAACATAATAGTTTTAATAGCTCATTTCTAATAACTGATTTATTTTATCTGTCATGATGACAGTAAATAATATTTGACTCGATATTTTTCAAGACACTTCTATACAGCTTAAAGTGAGATATAAATGCTTAACCAGGTTAATTAGGTTAACTAGGCAGATTAGGGTAATAACAAGTTATTGGCAAGTTATTGTATAACGAAGGTTTGTCTGTAGACTATCGAAAAAAATATATAGCTTAAAGAGGCTAATAATTTTAACCTTAAATGGTTCTTAAAAATTAAAAACTGCTTTTATTCTAGCCGAAATAAAACAAATAAGACTTTCTCCAGAAGAAAAAATATTATCAGACAAACTGTGAAAATTTCCTTGCCCTGTTCAACATTATTCGGGTAATTTTTAAAAAAGAAAAAAATCAAAGAGGGGCTAATAATTCTGATTTCAACTGTATATTTCAAAATTGTATATATATTGCAAAATTTCCATGCATTTTTTTCTTGTTTTTTTCTTGTTTTTTAAACTAACACCAATCTCATATGTGTTGTATCTGTCTGTGGTGCCACATTTTGACCCCATAGTGCAAAACCTTAAAGGCATAGTTCACCCCAAAAATACAAATTTTGTGATCATTTACTCATCCTGCACTTGTTCCAAACCTGTTTGTGTTTCTTTCCTCTGTTGAACACAAATATAATACTGTAGAATGCTGGAGGAGAAAAATGCCCATTGCCATTATCTTGTCCTGGATGTCAATGGGGTATACTGTATGCTGAGCTAATGTGTTTCTCATGCTGATACACATCCAGTGACCTGTTATCGTGATTTTTTTCCATTTTATATGGTTCCTTTTACAGCATCAATGTTGTAATGTAATTCAAATACAATCAGTTAAACAGACTTTGACATCCATTTAGTTGCTCAAACGTAAAACGAGACAAAAAGCCGTTTACTCGCACGCGCCCGTCAGAATCGGCAGGTTAGTACAGAAGCTCCATTGAATATACTGGGGTAAAATAAATGCTCATATTATAAAGACATGGCGGGGAACATGTAATTTAATGCAGTGCTTCATGTACAATCTGAGTCCCACTTTATATCGGATATCACTCAGCTAGTGGAGATCGCTGATTTTTAAAGAAAACAGACCTTAAACACGCTTTTTGCAATGGCATACAGTTCGCCGGAAATGATTAACCCAGGTTACTGGCAAACTAAAAGTCCTATTAGCATGCTTCAGCATATACGCTATGGCTGCTTTTTTACAACATTCTTCAGAATACCTTATGTTCAACAGAATATTTTTTTTATAAATGTTTAGAACTAATTGAGTTTAATTAAAAGGTGAAGAAATATATTTTTTAATAAAAATCAGATAAAAAACATTATGGAAACACTGACTTCCCTATTAGCACAGAAACTAATGACAGAGAGGCTGGTTATTCATAACAAGGCCTCAGTTCAAGGGAATTGTTAGATCCCATTTCCATCCAAGGTTATTCCAAGGTTCTGCAAACAAAACGCTCTAGATTTCATATTTTCAGAAAGGAGGTCTGCTGGAAAAGTGCCAGCCGACAAAGTGCTTTTAAAAGCAGCGCTAACGTCATTGGAGATCAAGGTGAAAATTAAAACTAAAGGACACTGGTAAACTGCCTTGAGTTTTATTATATTATTAATATTAGTTACTGTGACTTTTAACATTTGCATAGCAACAGCTAAGACAGGAATAAACTTCTAATTTGTGGTTACAGCTGTAAATAGGCTGTAATTGAGGTTTATGTTCCTGGGGAGGACATGATAAGACAGCACTGAAATCAGCCACTGAAATGGCCCTGTAGCTCATTCACCACAGCATTATCAGTGCCTTCTGTCCAGATTTAGCTTCCACAATGCGCACAATGGAAAGCCTATTAATTCCTATTGGTTTGAATTTTGTCAGCAGCTACCCAAACTATCTTGAATGCAAGATGTGATCTGGCTAATAAAAAATGATTAGCCTACAAAAATCAGTGGTGGAAGGAGTATTGAAAATTTATACGTAAGTAGAAGTACCATTGCTTGCCTGAAATGTAGTGCGAGTAAAAGTATCTGTTGTAAATATTACTCAAAGTATGAGTAAAAATTAGTCCTAGAATGAGTAGACCTTTCAAAAGTACTCAAGAGTAGTGAGTATAGTGATCATTACGCTGTGAAAAGCTGATTTGTTTACATGTAATTTGTGCATGTGTGTGTAAACGTAACATTCTGTAGTGCATTTAGTTATTGCCCAGCAGGCACACAATGTACTACGACGCTAATATTAGGTGAGATTTAGGTTGTGACGTCAGGTGACCAAAATTCAATGTTTAGCCAGCATCTAAAGACAAAGTTATTTTCATGTCTAATAATGACGTCAAATGACGTTAATTTGGTTGATTTTAGGTTGTGCTAAAAAGTCTTGAACCAACATCATATTGACGTCAAATACTGACATTTTTTCATCAGGTATGGCAACCAAAACTCAACATCTGATAGACGTCATAGTGGTAACGTTCACACAACATCAAGCT